AGGAAGGAGGAACCACTGAAGATTCCTGGAGTGAAGCCTGGCCCACGGAACGATGCCCATGCAAGAGACCATTTTCCCCAAGAGTTGGGATAGTTGTACCAGGGGTACCATCTTCTCTCTCCGGACCTGTTGGACCCGTTTTCAGATGCTGATCCGACACTCCTGAGAGAGATAGACTTTGCATAGGTTCGAATCTATCAACGCTCCCAGATGGAGCAGACGTCTTGTAGGTGTCGTGTGGCTTTTTTTGAAGTTCATGGAGAACCCGTGATCCTGAAGTGTTTGAATCGTGACTGCCAGGTCCGACTGGAAGGATCTGGACTGTACTAGGATGTCGTCCAGATAGCACTGTACGCGCACGGGCATCATCCTCAGATGAGCCGCCAGTACGGCCAAGATTTTTGTGAAGACCCTCGGGGCCGAAGAAAGGCCAAAGGGTAGGGCCCGGTACTGGTAATGCTGGTGCGCGTAACAGAACCGCAGGAACCTGTGGTGGTCTGGGAGGATCAAGATGTGGAGGTAAGCCTCTGTCAGGTCGATGGAGGAGAGGAAATCCCCTTTTCTGATACTGGCCAAGATGGACTTTAGGGTCTGCATTTTGAACCTCCTGTAGGTTAGGAAGTAATTCAGACCCTTTAAGTCTAGTATCGCCCTCCATCCTCCTGAGGTTTTGGGAACTACAAACAGGATGGAGAAGAACCCCTCTCCTATCTGATCCTGAGGCACCAGTTCTATGGCCCTGATGTCCAGTAAGTGGGCGATGGCTGTGGTGACTAGTTGCGCTTTTGCCGTATTTCTTGAAACCGGGCACTGTATGAAACGATCTGGGGGAGAAGACTGAAACTCTAGGGAAAGACCCTGTCTTATGGCCTCTCTGACCCAAGCATCGGTAGTTGTGCTCTCCCAGATATCGTAAAACAGTGCCAGTTGGCCCCCTATGGGATAGTCTTCCTTGGCGTCACTTGGACCGCCTGTATGGATGACTGCCCAAGCCATTGCAGTCTAGATAATCCTGGTCAGGGATACCTAGAAGTGGGGGGAACCCAAGCACAAAGATCAATTACTCAGAGATGGAAAACCGATCCTCGCTCTGAACAATGGTAATGGCAAGAACAGCCAGACAGTTTTCTAATACTGCCTGCACAGGCCCTGTGACTAAAGGCCACTGACTATCTGAAACAGGTGGTCAAAAGGATTACCTCTTCACTCCACTTAGTCCTAAGGACTGAACACAATAACACACTTAAAGACAGGCAAAGGCCCAAGAATTTGGGATAGCACCCACGAGTTTCACCACACTTACTGTGGATATAAGAGAATCACTTTACCCCCCGGTACGGGCTGACAAGCAGACCTTAGATGTTGCAATGAATTAGATTAGGCCTCCACAAAATGTCGTCCGCCTCGTGAGCCTATCAAAATGGCGGCCGTGCTATGACCATGCGGTCAAAATGGCGGCCGCGATTCCACATCTGCGCTTAAAATGAATTTGTGAGTAAAATTTAAAGCAGACAGAGCTGACCAGGAGAGATTAAAATGGTGATTATTTTGAGACTTTAACTCTGGAAAAGAATTTATCTTCTCCTTTTTTCAATCAAGAGTGGTGAAAAATGGCGCTGAGATGTTGATTCTTTGAGTGAAAGGACCAGAACTTCTATTTGGAACAATGTAACAGATTTTGTATTTATATAAAATGCAAGAATCTTCTTTTTTTCTTTTAAGGGGGCTTTTGTCTTTTTTCCTCCACTTTTTTGGTATTTGTTGATTTTATAAGTTTTTAGCAGACCTTTTAACAAGTAGTCTTTAAAATAAAATGGCTTCAAAGCGTCTCGGAGCTTCTATTATTTCTCAAGCCTCGATCTTCCCGGTAATGCAGACAGCTCAGCAAGTTAAGTTTAAGTTACCACCACCTACTCCATCGTCATCAGCATCTACACTTAAAGATTTACAGGATTAAAGAAGAGGCAGAGGAGTTTGCCACGAGACATGGTTATTTATTTTTCTAGGAGATCACTTCGTAATGAAATTTTACACGCTTTTTATAAGCAGAGATTTCAAATTGCAGTTCAAGATGTTATAATTTTAAAAGAAATACCTTCAAAAATTCTTAGAAAAAGAAAGGATTTTGCTTTTTTGGTTGATGAGCTCAAAAAACGACTGGTTCGGTTCAGATGGGAGATACCGGCTGGAATAGTGACGAATTATGCGGGGATATATCATAGACTTAATACAATTTCAAAGGCGAAAGATTTTTACACTTCTGTTTTGAAGGCGGGTTCTCCATCATCTTTACGACTTGAGATAATAGAAGAAAAGTTGGAAGAGCAGCCGGTTGAAGTGCTATGTTATTGGATGTAGGAGACATACAGGCTGAACCTCTGCAGCAGTCTCTTGTGACAGAAGATTTTTTAAAGAAACCGAGAATGACTCGTGCAGCCTATAGATGTAAAGTAAAAGAACAGCAGAAGGCAGATGTTGGAATAAAGAAAAGGAAATCATGAACTTTTGTAGTAGTTTTTTGAGATAGAAGATGTTTTAAAGGAATAGTGAATGATTCGTGTAATATGTAGATGTAAAGAAAAAGAACAATAAATGTTAGTTTAGCTGATAGTTTGATTTAGTATGTTTTAAAGGAATAGTGAATGATTTGTGTAGTATGTAGATGTAAAGAAAAAGAATAATAGAAGGTGTCGATTTAGTGGAAAAGTTTAAATATTTGGGAGTATATATATTATAAATTTTTAATTTAAAGTGTATAAAAAAAGTTATAAAATATTATGGGTAAATGTGTAAAAGAATTTAAATTCTAATGATCTCTGTTGGTGAGAATTTTACTGATTAAGATGAATGGTTTGCTGAAACTTCTTAAGTAGGAGGGTATTAATAGATTTATTTAGGGGTGGGAAAAAAAGCAAACACCCAAGTTTATCGAATGTAAGTTTGTTGGTTGGGTTATATTGGAGGGAAAATTTTGTGTTTATTATGGATGAATGAAATATACACCTCAGCGTGGAGAAGATGGATAAATTACATGTAGAGTAAATAAGGGTTAGAGTTGATATGGGATTAAAAAGTATTATTTAGATTATGAATAATTTTTAGTTTTTAATTTGGAATTGCTTATATTATTATTATTATTATTATTTTAATTTGCTTAAATTTGTTTTGTATTTGAGTTAAAGCATATTATTGATTTTGTTATTTGTATAGTTTGATAAGTTTATTTAAAATTTGCTTGTTTAATTTGTAACCCTGTAACCAGCTCTGGGAAGTGAGGGGGGGAGGGAGGGAGGGGGTTATTTTAGGGGGGGATATTGTTAAAAACTTGTATAAAACTTTTCAATACAAAAAATGGCGGCCGCGAATACTTCGGAGCCTCCGGAGAAGCTACAATCAGCTTTGAACAAATCAGAGATAAATCAACTGCAAATTCATTAAAGTACGGCTAAACAGGGCAATCCCTGTTTCCCCCGTTCAGATATCACTTGCGGTTCGTTGCGCAGCCTCAGCTGCGATCCGATAGTGACTGCAGGCAAGAAACCTCGAGGCCTAGACGCTTGCTGCAAAGGAATGCACCGGCGGCCGCTCCAAGAAAAACTCCGTTCTCCGCTGCCCAGCGGGATCGCGGAGGTCCTCAATCAGTCGAATGATTAGCGGGATCGCGGAGGTCCTCAATCAGTCGGGATGGGAGCCCCCACCCAATTGAGGCCTGCAGCCTCCGAGTCCCGAGCCCAAAATAGCTCCAAGCTCTTAAAAGGACAGAGTCCTTATCCAGTTGTAAGTTTAGACAAAGCTAATTGGAAAAGGTTCTTTTGGAACTAATTACTTTAAATTGAGATCAAGTTTGAAAAAAAAAATCCTAGCCTAGCTAAGGAGCCTAAATTCCTGCGTCCTACTGAGCTGGAGACTAAGACAAAACTGGGAAGTCACACCCAGAGGGAGGCGTGGCTAATGCTTTGTCTTAGTCTACTGAGCAGGAAGGCTGAAATTACCCATCAGTGGATTCTACATCCATCCTGCTGGAGAAAAAATGAAATTAAACATATGATTGATCCCAATTTATAAATCTGTAACAATACTTAAAGATTTGAAATTATTATTTGAAAATTGTTTTGAATTCTCAGAAAAATCAATTCTCATTAAATTATAGAATCTATCATAAATATTTACATCCAAAAATACTACAAGTAGAATTTCTAAATTCAACAGTAATATTACCAATACAATCAAAAAAATAACAATAATTCTAAAGCAGAAAAACTAGGAAAAGCAAAATAAAATACTTTAAGCAAAAATTTAAATTCTCCGGAAATTGTAAATTCAGATCAGATAGATCTATAAAACAAACAAGTTCAGTCAATCACAAAAAGACAGTTATCTCTTCAAGCTTTAATGCTGCATAGAATCTGACACAAAATATGCACAAAGTTACAGTATGGTCACATTTTTTAGGAAACCCCCCTATATTTAGATTTAACATCTTCAAAAATAAAATATCATAAATTGAAAGTAAATTGAAACTTACAGACAGGGAGAGACAAAATTTTAATAAAGTATAGAAAAAAATGTAAGACAGCTGCTATTGGAAATGAATTTCAAAAGAGTTATATTAAAATATAGTATCTTCAATTGCTAGATACAAAAGTCAAGGATAAGAGACTATATTAATTGTTTTATATAAAGCAAATATTATGCTACATTACACAATAGCAAGGAATATCTGGGTGACATTTGTCCAATATATTTTAGGCAAAATTATGGAAATTCTTCAGGATACTCCCAAAATGAAAACCTAATTCTGTTGCATAAAATTGGAGAATCAAAACTACAATCTTTAAATATTAAAATGCATTGAATTTTACATGACTATTAAAATCCACATTTAACAGTTTACAAGATTAAATTTTAATACTACTTTGTATAAATATGACCAGCTCAATAGAAAAATTATGTATTTGTGAAATGTATGAACTGCAATGCTGAATTCAATAAGTTCTTACCAGTTTACTGAAATGGTATTTACAGTAACCACAGTATTGGACATTGTCTGCACCGTTACCTTCTTCTTCACAAAGAAGTCCTGCAAACTGTGCACTGAAAAGATAAAATAAAAACAAAGAAAAAATAGGAAGTGTCAGCTACTGAAGATTGCAAACATGGCTGCTTAACAAAATTTTGCAATCCAGTTTTTAACTGACCTTTTAATTTGGAGCAATTATGCTGGAAAACTAATCAATAAAGTATCTTTATGACATGTATAAGGAACTTAGCAATCAGCATTTGGAGGATAAAGACAAAAAATGAAATTTCTCTGAGATAGTTCAACAGTAAAATAAATCTATTATATGTAACTAGTCTGAATAACTCAGGTGACATGTGGCAACATATGAACACTTTATTTATCTAGGCCAGTGATGGTGAATCTTTTAGAGACCAAGTGCCCAAAAACTGGCCCGTCCCTGCCCCGCCCCCTGCCCCGCTCCACCCTGCCTGCCCACAGGGCCACTCACCGCCTCCAGGGCCCACCGCAGATCGCCCAGGCAACCCGGCAGCTCTGTGGCAGCCACGCCTTCTACCCACGCCCTGCAGCATCAACTGTGTGCGTTGGGACGTGAAGGCAGAGTCTTGTCTACGCTGCCTGGCTGCCATGTCCTTGGCTGCGCTGCTCTGCGTGGGCCATACTCAGGGGCGACGCTCCTCCAGGAGGCTGCTGGTGAGGAGGGGGTCGTGGGTGGAAGCAAGGCTCGGACAATGGCATGTGTGCCCACAGAGAGGCTCTGAGTGCCGCCTCTGGCACCCGTGCCATAGGTTCGCCACCACTGATCTAGGCAATAAAGAGCTCAGAAAAAAAAGATTGTCCTTTCTGTTCACTTACCATGTTACATGGAAAGCTTGACGACATCCATGTTTATTACAGGTCATGCAAGCACCTGAGGCTGCTTTGCTTTCTCTGCCTTGCTCTTCACATATATAACATGTCTATTGGAAAAAATAATACTTAATGAATATGCAATTTGCTTTAAGCAGGATAAAACTGAACAGTCCTTCTGTTTTCAGATATGTTACTTTACACTGAATGCAGTTCAAGTTCAAGGCCCTTAAAGCCCTTAATGGCATAAGTCCCGATGAATTGATGAACTAGGTAGGACAAGCCAATCATTTTCATGCCAACAAAAAGGGACTACTTCTCATTGGTCAAAGAACTCTGACTATCAGGATCTAGCAGAGCCTTGTCTGCTACAGCGCCTGCCCTTTGGAACATCTTACCTCTAAGTTAAAATCTGCCCCCTCCTTCCACAAGAGGCTAAAATCCTAACTCTGCTGGGTGACCTGGAACCAATAGTGGAGTTCCAGGTTGCAGGTGGCTGCTGGACTGATGGCAGATTCCACTCCCCCCACCTTGCATTCTGCTCTGCAACCATCCATCTTTTTGGTTATTATACTGATGTATTTTTGTTGTGTTCTTTTTCACTGTTTATTTTATTGTTCTATTATTTTATTTCTGTTCTGTTTATATTCCTTTCAGTTTCTTCCTTTTTTATTATGGTAAACCACCTAGAGTAGCCACAGAGCAAGAAAGGTGACAAATAAATTAAACAAACAAATAAATTTGTAGCTTATGTAAATAATTTAAGAATGAAAATATGAAATATCCTCTAAGAATATGGTAAGAATATAAAAATATTGTTCAAATATTGGAACTGTCTCAATAATATACATCTCATTTAATTGTTTCGTTACATGAACAATAAATACTGATTGTAGCAGGCAGCATAATTTTTTTCTTCAAAATATGCTACATTTTCATTCTAACCCATAATTAGATATTCGTCAAATACTTTATGTCTTTACATTCTTCTTGATAGTATCTGATTAATCTATATCTAACTTTATCATATTATTAAATTTAAATAAACACTTGTACCTACTTTTCTGATATAAAAATCTGATTTATAAGGAAGCTTGTCAAATATCATAATATGAACTTGGACAGTTGCAGGCCTACTCTTACGAACATGCAAGTAATTATTGAAATAAAATAACATAATCAGAGAGGTCCTGTATGACTATGCTGGTAGTCTAAAACTGAACAATTCATAAGAATATAAGAGATTTGTTTGATTAGATCAAGAAAGCATATAATATAGCATCCAATTTATCACAAAAGCCCATCAGACCTCTATGGAGTGATCCATAACTAAGGTATAAGGGCAATAGCCATCTCTTATTACAGGTAGTCTTTAACTTACAGCCACAACTGAAGCCAAAATTTCTGTTTCTAATTTGTTAAGTTTTGTCCCATTTTACAACCTTTCTTGCCACAGCTAAGTGAATCACTGCAGTTGCTAAGTTAGTAACACAATTGTAAAGTGAATCTGGCTTTCCTCTGACTTTGATTGTCAGAAAATCACAAAAAGTGATCACATGACACTGGGACACTGCAACCATCATAAATATGAGTCAGTTGCCAAGCATCCAAATTTTGATCACGTAACCATAAGAATGCTACAATGCTCGTAAATGTGAAAAAGAGTCATAATCCAAGTTTTTCAATGCTGTTGTAACTTCAAACAATCACCAAACAAATGGCTGTTAGTCAAGGTCTACCTGTATTGTTGCCACCTGTTTGTTATCTTTAAAACTCAAGCACTCAAGTTGGCATAGAACTGATAAGAACTTGTTCTTTGAATTTAGGAGAGACATTTACTCTACAAAGTACTTTTTTTTGCCTTATATCCCAATTGTATAAATACTTTAGACAAAGTGAAGGGTATTAGGGGAGGGCTTAAATTTTTTTTGTAGGATACAGGAATAAATGGTACATACATTCAGTACATGTGATGCATCAAAAAGCAACAATAAAAGACATTGATTAGATGTGAGAAAATACAGACACCCTTAAAAATGTTGCATTTTCCCTTTCCCCATTTAGGAATGTTTCTTTAATACCTGCAACATTCAGGAACTCAAGAATAAGTTCCCTGTTGTTTGGTTTATAAATCATCTTATGAAGAGGCTAGTTTTTGCATATATAAATTAAAAAATGGCTTTGGCTGAAAATAAGATTTGCCAAACCAAAAGAAATCACGAGGTCATGCTAAAATGCTAATATCATTTTTATTAAAAGCCCAATAATGAAGCCTAAAATCCCAGGTAACGTTAGTAAGTAATAATTTGAGACATTATCATAAACTATTATGAATAGTTATCATGAATAGGCTTTTTCCTCCTAAATTTAATCTCCTTTTTCTGCCACCTAACCTGATGATGATCATCATTGCTTCTTCTATGCTGTCCAAATCAGAATTTAATCTGTTCTAAAAATATTATCCAGTCATAAGTACTAAATTCCTAGCGAATATATTGTGTACAGTATATCATTGTTATATATTTATAATGTAATGTTCTATGTAGCTTAAATCACATGCTTAAGTTGTATTAGCTATGCATCTGTTCTTCCTTCTTGCATGCTTATGATGCAAAAGTTTTACTAAGTCTAGACCAGGAGTGTCAAACTCGCCGTATCACGTAACGTGTCGTGACGTATCGTGACTTTTTTCTCCTTGCCAGAGCTGGGGTGGCCACGGCTTCCACATAACGCATCTGGCCCATGGACCAGCAGTTTGACACCCCTGGTCTAGACTGTGGCAAACTATTACAACATGATATGGCTATCTTCTTCCTAAATTAAAATTCTATGCCATTCATCTGACTTAATAGGGTTGATTCAATGCAGTAATTTTCAAACAGCAACCATGCCCCTTTTCTTTTCTAGCTCTGATATTCAGAATAAATTGAATACAAGTACTCCTCAGTTAGCAACCATTTGTTCCGTGATTGTTTGCAATTATGTTGGTGCTAACAAAGGAACTTACCACCTATGCCTGATGACATGGCCTTTGCAGTGCCCCCATGGTAATATAACTGCAATCTGGATATTTGGCAACTCATTTGCGCTTATGACCAGCTGCCAACCACACCACGATTATGTTATCATTATCTTCAATCTTCCCTGCTGACTTCCCCAGAAAGTCAGTAAATGTTTGAGAAAGAAACAAGAGGAGACCTTTTGTCTCTAGAAGCTAGCTGCAATTGTCCATGCGCAAGGACTCTATTCCAAAATCTTACTTGGATTTTGGAAAAAATCTTTTTCAGTCAGTCCCCAGAGATAATTCAAAGATTTTGGCACAGAGCATTTGCAGCACAAGGTGTTATAGCAAGCCCCTAGAGGGAGTCCTCTTGTTTCTGGGGCTGGCTAAAAAGCTCTGTTCTGAAATTCAAGCAGGATTTTCAGCCATGGAGGAATTTACAGTCCAGAGTAGAAAGACAGGGGAGTAGTAGTACAGTAAAGTAAGGGACAAGAGGTGCTTTAGGCAGATGGGAGAGGCTGGGCACAGGGAGCTTCCCTCCCCCCCCCCAGGCTGAAAATCATGCTTGGATTTCGGTGAGGAAGATTTTCAACACCTGAGCAGAAGACCCATACTAATAGATTGCAGGAGGTCTCTCGCCCCCAAGGCAGTCCACACTCCTTGGAACTCCATTTGCTTAACAACCCCAAAGTTAACAACCACAACCAGGTAGTCCTTGCCTAACAACCATTTTGTTTAATAACCATTCCAAGTTACAATGGCACTGAAAAGGTGACTTACAACTGTTCTTGCACTTACAGCTGTCACAACATCTCCATAGTCAAATGATGATGATCCTGGATCTTATCAATTGGCTCATACTTACAATAGTTGGGGTGTCCTGTAGTCCAGATAATCATCATCTGCAACCTTCTCAGCCAACTTCCAACAAGCATAGTCAATAGGGAAATCAGCAGACAGTCACACTTGTGATGTCACACTTAATCAGATTAATTCACTTAAGGGCCATGGCAAAAAATCAAGAAATCTGGGGTGGCCACATACTGTCTCACTTAATGACTATCCCACTTAATAATGAATTTTCCAGGCCTTATTTTATTTATAAACTGAAGATTTATAAGGTATATAAGTATACAGATAATCTAAATAATAGCACACTGAATTAATTCTGGTCACACATTTTGTTACTTATAATCTACCATCTATCTTACATATTCTGTGGGGGTAACAAATAAGGACCATCCTTTAACTAAGGTATTTAGGAAGCATATCACAATAGTAATGGGGGACTTTAATTACCCTGACATCAACTAGGAGACAAACTCTGCACCAAGTGGAAGATCAAACCTAGCAGACAACTTTGTCTCCCATAAAGTAGAGAAGGGAATTAGGGGATTAGCCATTTTGGATCTAATTCTCACTAACATGGATAAAATGATAGAAGGTGTTGAAGCCACAAGAACCTTGGGGGAGTGATCATGCAATATTGGAATTCAACATTATGGAAGCACAAGCAATAGAACACAGTCAAACTACAGCCTTGGACCAAGAGAGCTAATTTCAATAAACTTAGAGAAGGCTTGGGAAGGATTCCATGGATGAGAATCCTCAAGGGGAAAACAACTCAAGAAGCTTGGATAATTTTGAAAAGTGAGATAATAAAAGCCCAGTCTAGAACAATACCAACAAAGAAGAAAAGTAACAGCTCTCAAAAAAAAACCAACATGGCTGCATAAAGAACTCTCTGATAAATTGAAAGACAAAAAGGACAAGTATAACAAGTGGAAAGAGGGGCACATAACTAAGGCAGAATATCAGCAAATAGCCCGAGCCTGAAAAGATGAAGTGAAGAAAGCTAAGGCTCAAAATGAACTAAGACTTGCCACAAAAATCAAAAATAACAAAAAAAGCTTCTTTCAACATGTAAAAAAACAAGAAAAAAGTCAAGAAAATGATTGGACCATTAGTGGGAAAAGTGGCAAGAAGGTGACAAGCAATAGGGAGAAAGCAGAACTATTTAACTTGTTTTTTGCATCTGTCTTTATACAAAGGGAAAAAACAGTCCAACCTATTAAAAACAGTATTGCAAAAAACAAGATTAGAAACACA